AGGGAGAGGGACAGGGAGAGGGAGAGGGAGAGGGAGAGAGAAAATAGAGAAGAGAGAAGAAAGAGGGAGAGAGACAGCCAGAGAGAGAAAAAGAGAGAGCGAGAGAGGCAGTGAGAAAGTAGGGGGGCTCTCGCGCAGTGCCTCTGACATGATACTGGCATGCTACATTTCACTGTGCATCCACAGGTTCCCCAAACTGTAACGAGCGAGCATTATTCGCGCGTGTTCTCCAGAAGCATGCAGGCCTAGGCAGGGTTGGGCAGGTGGTTAAACATTAATTTACTGTTAAATGTACCATGCACTCACTTCACCTTCAACCTGGCTAGAGCAAAGGCCCACGCCGAAGCCTGTAAAAATGGGGCGATTACGTACATTGAAACTCCTAACGGTCTAAGTCTTAGACCCCAACGCGCTGACATTTTAAAAAGTTAAACGGATTGAACGGCATAAACGTTGAAACAGCACTTCTGAAGGCATGAGAAGCAGGACGCTTGGGGCGTTTTTAAACGGTTTGAACGTGTGTAAACGGTTTTAATGTTGGGGGCAGCACTTCTGAAGGTCTGAAAGGCAGGACGATTGAGGCGTTTTAACACTTTAAGCATTTAAACGTTTTAAACGTTGGGGCAGCATTTCTGACGGTACGAAGGCAGTATGTTTGGGGCCTTCTGGCACGTTCAAACGGTTTACACGTTGGAGCAGCACTTATAAATGAGAAACAAACCGTTTGGGGCGTTTACACGGATTAAGCGCTTAGGCTGTTCTAATGTTGGAGCAGCCCTTAATTTTGAAGGCACGAGAAGCAGGACGCTTGAAGTGTTTAAGCCGCTTAAACGTTTAACCGGGTTAAACTTTGTTGCGGCACGTCTGGACGTTTGGGGCGTGTAAACGGTTTAAACGTTGGAGCAGCACCTCGGAAAATATGAGAAGCTGGACGTTTGGGGCGCTTACGCGGTTTAATCGTTGGGGCAGCACGTCGGAAGATTTCGGAAGGGTATGAGAAGCAAACAGAAGCAGGACGTTTGGGCGTTTTAACGGTTTAAACGTTTAAACGGCTAAAAAGCTTGGAGCAGCACTTCTGCAGGTATGAGAAGCAGGACGCTTGGGGCGTTTAAACGGTTTAAACGGTTTAAAAGTTTGGAGCAGGACTTCTGCCGCCATGAGAAGCAAGACGTTTGGGGCGTTTTCAGCGGTTCACATGTGTAAACGTTGGAGCAGCACTTCGGAAGGCATTAGAGGCAGGACGTTTGGGGGCGCGGTTTAACCATTGGAGCAGCACTTCGGAAGGCATGCGAAGCAGGACGTTTGGGGCATTAACCGGTTTAATTGTCATTGTTTAAACGGTTTACACGTTTCAGCAGCACTGCGGAAGGTATAGTTAATGCAAAAACGCGCCAAATGCGCTGCACTTATTGTTGCTTGAGCCATGCAACCGTGGTAGTCGTCTATACTAGCACACAACTACAATCAAAACACCCCCCGCGCCTCTCAGGGCAGCGAAGAGAGGCGGAAGTAGAAGCACCAGAGACGACACAAACGTTGCGAATGAAAGCAAATTGTTGGACTGGCCTTTTACGCCGCAAGATTTGAAGAGCTCTTAGTCGTGAAAGCAATGATCACACAAGGCGATGGCCCCCATCAGGTCAGCCCTGTACGCGGGCCTTCCCTTCCGGGAGGCAAAACGCTTACTAGGAGCAAATAAACTACTCTTAGTCTTACGATCCGAAGTCCACGACTGGACGGTTTCTCAAGGCCGTCCTTCGGGCGCGCCGACCGCAATGTCCCGCGTGGGATGGAAGATCGAGCGGTGATCCGCTACTGTGACCTCAACGACTACCTCCTGCTGGCACCAGAGCACTTGTCCTATTTCCTGGCTGGCTGGTAAAAGACCCAGAACGGGGTCCGGCTCTACTGAATGCCGCGTTTTGTAAATAGCAGTACAGTGGTAGCATGCATTGTGTTCATTTCCTTTCTTCGCTCCACTCTGGCGAGTTGTGTGCCGACCACGTGTGCTGTGAAGGACGTCCCTGGAGCTCGCGAGGTTGCTGCTGGCCCATGTCGATGTCAGGCACGGCTCAGTAAGTCGCATCTGTGTAGCTGGCGGCATTGGAGAGGACTCACGAGGTCTTGCCTTAGGCTTCGGCGGCATAGACCCAGGCCTGTCTGTAGAGGAACCTGGAGCATCACAAGGACGAGCTCGTGGTAGCGGATCTCGTTGCGTGTTCTGGATCTGGATTCACTTCTTCGCTACCGTCCTCAGTTGGCATCGCGATATCGGAAATACCAGTGCTCACAGGCTCCGGGTGTTCCAGGACTTGTGGAGCAACCGGGGCATGGCTCGAGTAGGCTACTTAGGCTACGGCTGATAACCTATAGCGTTAGTGCAAGAACGCACCAAATGCGCTGCACTTTTTGCTTGAGCCATGCAACGGTGGCAGTCGTCTATACTACTTGTAGCATACAATTACAATCAAAACGGAAGGTATGAGAAGCAGGTCGGTTGGAGCGTGTAATAATTTGGAGCAGCAAATCTGAACGCATGAGAAGCAGGACTTTTGGGGCGTTTAAACGGTTTAACCGTTGGAGCAGCACTTCTGAAGGTATGAGAAGCAGTGTCACCGCTGTGGTAAGTTCAACAAGACACGGAGCTACTTTGTTAGGAGCCTGCTGGAACCAAGAACTGCAGCCAGCCACGCGGAAGGAGTGTTGAAACACATGGCAGACGCGAAATGTTTTAACATGTTCTAAAGTGCGAACCCGAAATGTTTAAACATGTCTTAACATGCAGAACTCCGACCCTTGTTTAAACTGTTTACGCGCCTATATTGTGTAAAAAGTTTAAACCCAGTGTTTGGCCCATCCCTGGGCCTGAGCAAGTCCATACTATGCATAGTGGAAGGTCTCTTGCCTGACGACAGGGTTAAGTTATCGTGTACACAATGCCGGTTGGGAAAACATCATAATGCTTATGACATGGAAAAACATGGACGAGCTGTGTGGTTACAGGAACTCTCCAAACTGCGGTCCTCCCCGGCCGCTGGAAATTGCGGCACGACCCAATTACCCCAAGAGCCGGACCGCGACTCTACCAAACCCGCCCCCCGCTTGAGCGAAAGACTGCAGACGTAAACAAAATGACCGCTCCAACAAAGAAGTCTGCAAAGCAAACGGTCTTGCTGTCTTGCCACGGTCCAGTCGGGAATGCTTGAAGCATCAAGGGACATAGAAACCAGGTTGAATAGGACGCCTTAGCTACAGTATGAAATACTAATACATCCTGCAAGCTCCCAGTGTGACATTTTGAAGCAGCAAAATTGCGATTTCGGGAATGCGTCGTGCACCTACAGCCAGCAGTTCCTTGAGGAAGCTGGCTAAACAATGAATTGGCGGCGATGCTAAAACCAGCGGTTCGACTTGATTTCACCATGGCCTTCTCGAAGAGAGTTTTCTGCGAGGTGCGTCAATGTTTGACAGACCCTGCTTGAGCAAGATCGAGTACCCATACAGAATGCAACATTATGCCGTAGAGGCTTATCCAGCACTTGCCGCATTTTCCGGCACTGGCTGGCACGACGACAGTGATTGTGTTCTTGACTGTCGGATCGCCTCAATCTGCAACTCATACTCCTCAATGGCCTGCCAATCACGTTAACCACGCAACAGTGCGTCGTTTGAAAGAAGCATCGAAGCACAGGCCTGAAGGCACATCAAAGCGAAGGACCGCGCCTCCTGTCACGCTGCACCCATGTTGAACATACACTTATTCTCTATTGAACTGACCTGAATTTCCCATAATCTGCGGGCGTCTTAAGTGGGAGCAATTATCTGCACGATCTGGCCCGCTAAGAAAATCTTACGCAAAAGCAGAAAATAGTCCTCGGAGGAAGAAATGCGGGCCACCAAATCGGCCGGCGCTTCTGCTTCCTTGTTGCGGTGGTCACACCCGAAACCCTAAACAAAGCGACTGGACCAACAAACCAAACAGAAACCAGCCTCTTCAGCTATTTGGTCCGTCAGCTCTGCAAGCTGCGCTCTGGCTCGGTCGGCCTGCGCCACTAGCAGAATGGTCGTAAATGTCGTAGGCCGGAAGAGTGATAGTAGTAGTAGTAGTAGCAGCAGCAGCAGCAGGAGGAGGAGGAGTAGTAGTAGTGGTGGTAGACGTGGTAGAAGTGGTAGAAGTGGTGGTGGTAGTAGTAGTAGTAGAAGAAGAAGTAGTAGTAGTAATAGTAGTCGTAGTGGTGGTGGTGGCGGTGGTGGTCGTAGTAGTAGAAACAGCAGTAGCAGTGGTAGTAAAAGGAAAATAGAAATAAGAATCGATGAAGTAGTGGTAGTTGTTGCTGTTGTAGCAGAAACTGTCATTTCAATTGCACTGAAAACAAGAGTAGTAGTCGTGGCGGTGGTGGTGGTGGTGGTGGTGATGATAACAGTAGAAGCAGTGCCAGTAGTAATACATACGAATACTCTTACTAAGCAGAATAGCAGCAGAGGCAACAGAAGCAGCAGCAGCAGCAACAGCAGCACTAGTATTAATGGTCTTAAATGTAGTAAGAGCAAAGCTATAAATAATACTAGCCGTCGTCGTCGCAGCAGCAGCAGAAGTGGGGGTGGTAGTAGTAGTAGTAGTAGTAGTAGTAGTAGTAGTAGTGATAGTAGTACTATGGTGGTGGTGGTGGTGGTGGTAGCTGTTGTGTTGTTGTTGTTGTTGTTCGTGTTGTTGGTGTTGTTGTTGTGGTGTTGTTGTGGTGCTGTTGTTGTTGCTGTTGCAGCTGTTGTTGTTCTTGCGGTGCTGGTTGTGGTTGTGGTGGTTGTTGCTGTTGTTGCGATAGCATGAGCAACCAGGGTCGGCAATGGTGCTGCAATTGGTGGTTGTCACCAATGTGCTTCGTCGGCAGTGCTGGCAGATATCACACGAAGTTGGCAATATGGTGGTTGTGATACTGCTATGCATCTTAGGCCGCCATGGCTTGGACCCAACAATTGAGCATGAACCAGAAATGCTGGTTTAGGTGTTTTTGGGTCTTGCAATTGAACTGCAAGTGGCGGGTGCTGCATGCTGTCATGTCGTTTTCACTTTTCATCGACATTACATGGACGACTCAAAGCTTCTGAAGATTTGCCCCTCAAGGCCGGCGGCCCACCTGAACGAGGCACATGTGACAAAAAGCCCGAGCTTCCTTAGCAGTCGTAATTCAACCGAGCGTCGTTGCAGCCCTTCGCACGTGAACATGGGATAAGTCTGTTACACACCAATGCTTCAAGGAACAAGAAGCGAGCAACCGGCGTCGATGTGCGAGGTTTCTTCAGGGCATACTTCTGTCCAACTTGTAACCGACTCGAGGGGCATGTCTGGAATAGCCCTGCAGAGCTCATCGACACTGTCTGAGGTTGCGCTCTGCAAACTCAAGCTGCTGTGTTGAACTTGTGCAAGCGCTGCTTCTTCAACTTGGCCAGTTGCCACGCTGTGGGTTGCAGGGCAGCTCAAGTACAGGGTGTCCATCTGGTGCTTCAACACCTCCACGTCCCATTCTCGACAACCAACCCACGTCGCATCTGAACTGGTCGAAGTTGGAGATAATGGGACAGTGAAATCTGCGGAGCAGTCTGAATCGGAGCATAGCTGGCTGATTACCAACTCCCTGCGGAATCGCTCGAACCTGGCAAAACATCGGGAAGCATGTCGGGGTCGGAAGGTGCGTTTGGGCTGTTCGAAGTTGGTATTGACCCCTGATGTGTTGCTCAATGTGGAATCCAATGAATTTCCTGTCCCTGCACGCGGTGCCAATTCCTGCCTTGGCGTCGTCGACGGTGCACTTCGGCCAAACTTTGGTCTCTGAGATGCTGAGGTCTCTGAACGAAATTTGCGAGCACCATCCTGCAGGCGAGCGTAAGTCAATGCAACATCAGCGACCGGGAAAGCATGCAACACTACACCCTCACACCCAATCCGAGGCACCCGGTGGCGTTGCAAATATGAAGGTGTCACCGGCTTTGTGCCAGCCTCTTGCCGGCCTCGGCCTTGTTCAAGCCTTGGCACTGTCGAACTTGACAGGAGGCTAGGGGTGGGGCATGACGCTGTCCAAGGTTCAACACCAAATGCCCAAGCATCAACGTCATTGTCATTGTATGTGCACACTGCTGTACACTCGGCCCATCCGAAAAACACGAAGGCATCTCAGGAAGGTAAGATGCCAACACTGACACGAGTCTTTTGGCTGCTTGTGCTTGGCGGTAGACCTGTCAAGTCAGCAGCGGTTCCAGGTTCCAGGGTTGAAACTCAATGCCAATAATAACAACCTTCGCGCACAACATGGCGCAACTTGTGTACGTTCGCCTACTGGCGTGTTTTGTCAGCTTGTGTCCTGTCATCTCCTCAAGGACAACCCACCATCATCACTGACATGTTTTCCGCGAAAATGCAATCGACATCAATCGACACGACATGCACAACCTCCAGGGGCAACAAGCACATTCAAGCCTCTTCTGCAGCTTTTGCTCGAGCTTGGTGACGGTCCTGCCAAGGTGCTAGACGATGCCGTTTAGCATGCCCAAAATTCGAAAGAGTCGCTGCACCTCGTCGCAATGTTGCTGCACGCCACTGGCCATGGAATTGAAATCTTGGAGGCCATGGCACAAGCTCCTATGAGCCAAGCAGCAACCCCGTCAGGGAATGAAGGTTGTTTCGGGATTATCATGGAGCATGGGGACAAGCGCAATCAGTCGAGCAAATGGGATTTCGCCCGGTTCTGGCGTTGATCAGGCATTGTGCGTGTGTGTGCAAAGCTATCGAATTCCATTGCCTTGGTTTGCCAGCATTGACCTACGCAAAATTTTTAACCAAACAGATCCATCATCAATTCCAAGATCAAAAGGGTTCCCACATGTTCCCACTCATTATATCGCTTTGCTCCGGACCTTGTATTTCCAACCGAGTGGGTCTGTCGCTGACAGTCGTGCCTTTCCAATTCGACACGACGCGGAGTGAAGCAAGGTGACGTCGTCAGCCCTATCTTTGTGAAATGTTTTCCTGTGCAATTTGTTAAGGACTCACACAGTTATGTCCAACGACACCCACCCAGGTCCCTTGTTCTGAGCGGACCGGAGTCTGCATGACTCGGACGGACGCGACAAGCATGGTTTTTATTTTTTTGTTTCTCCTCGCGACGCTTGTCGACAGCAAAAGTACCCTGATGACGGCACATGCTGCCACGAACAAGACCATGACAGCAACACAACACGCCAAACCGCGTTCGAACTTATATCGCTTGCGCGAAAAGCAGCAAAACAACCTTTAATACAAATTGCTTTATAACAATTTCTTTTAAACGCATCCGCGTCCACGACCGCCTGCGGAACGGCCATGGAGACGATGCTTCGCCAGTAACATCACCAACCGGCTGCGCCGGCGCCGTGCAGGGCTGGCGGCGCGCGCTGGGCTTAGAGGCGGGCGAGATCTTGGAGGATGCAGCAAGCGTGCACGTTCCGCCAATCAAACCCAATACCGCCACACGTTGCGGCCCTCGCGTGACTTCGGGGTAGGCAGTCCGCTTTCAGCGCCCGGCGACGCGCAGCACGGATGACTCTGCGCGCGGCAGCAGTCGTGGACCACATTGATCCACGTGTACAAGGGCAGGCAACACATCGGTTGCCGTCAACATTTGGGATTCCTCGCTCCATGGGGAACCATCGGATGAAAGCATGGAGTTCAGAATGGTGGCTTGCCATAGATCGGTCCTGAACACCGTCAACGCAGAAGTCGGGGTATCCCCCGTGTCTTGGGCGTGCACATGTGTGCATGAATGGCTTCGCTGTGTACTGTACTCGAGCACTGTGAGTCCGTGTTGAATGATTTTTTCTACTGCAGCTACTGCTACTGCTGCTGCTGCTGCTGCTGCCGCGGCTGCTGCTGCTGCTACTTCTGCTGCTGCTCTCGTACTCCACGAGGGCGACTCACTACTGCTAACTGTATTGCCATTACAGCTACTACGATGGAGCCT